ACATTCACCTTGAAGCGAGTCTGAAAACCCAGCTAGAACTCTTTGTGGACGTAAAATTTAATTCACTCAAACTCTTATTAACATTTCTCTGGAGCCACAAGTGTGATTATGTCTGTTCTTAACCATCTTTCAGTATGGGATCCATTTATCTGTCTCATTCCTGCGTTTCACCATGAAAAATCCAACTTTCTGCTTTGCTATCGCACTTGGGGGCTGTGCCAGTGATTAATCAAAGCGGCGAGCTCTGACACGCGGCTAAATTGGTTGCTCTAACCTGATATATAACGCGGGCTGTAACGCCGACTAACACAGCCGTGTTCTCTGGAGGATCTCACCTAATGTAGAGATTGTATTGGGTTTGAAGCTTAAGGCGAGAGAAGTTTCAAACCCTTTTCACTAATATAATCTTCTTCTAATACTTTCTGTGTATTTGGTCATGTTTTGAGATCACAGGACCCAAAAATGGAAAGCAGAAGTGAAAAAGGACTCTGTCGCGATCTAGAGAAAAATGCTACTTCATTAAGGTGACAAATCACTGTTGAAATTATTATATTCAGGCCTTTTACATTCACGTATATTTGATTTGCAGAAAAAGCTTCTAATGGGCTGGAACCACTTTTCTGAGTCAAGGCCAATTTGACATAGTAGCATTTTAATATTTTATAAAAAAATAATATTAAGTTATTTTCTTACGGGTGCATCAGAATTATAAAACAGATGTCTGAACATATCCTGATGTCAGCTCAAACCGCAGTTTCCACAGCTCCCTGGTTGTGTGTTATTGCTGTCGGAAGGCAGACCTTTGTTGCTGACTGTAACTCCTTCATCCGGCACTCGCAGAGAACAGACGCTTCTGCTTTTGCTCCCTTATCTTTTTTTCCCAAGGCTCTTTGTCCTGTCTGCCTACAGAGCACATCTCTGCATTTCTTCTGGAAATCCCTATTTTTTGGAAATGGATTTAATTAATTGGTCATTCAACGCGATTGATAAGAGCTTTTCTACGATGAGAACTGAGGAGGGGGCTCCCAAAGGGACACACGTAGCGGGATATGCGCTCGATTCCTGGAAGGTCTGGAGGATCGTTTGCCTCTCTCAGTTGTCCATTGAGGATGTCGAAGACATGTGGATATTTGGCCTGATGATTACTGGATTTCTTCTGATTGGAGTGGGAGGATATCTGATTTTCTGGAAATTTGGGGAGATGGGAGCGATTGAAGTGCGACCTGCACCCAAGGAAAGCACCGCCCGGGCGGTGACCGCACAGACTGGGACATTACTCGAGGTGAATCGTAAGCTGGACAATGTCCTTGCTGCGTTACTGGTATTAGTGCGCAAAATGGATGTCATCTCGGAGAGGGTCACCGGACGGTGTGGGGATGATTAGTACCTAAATTGGCTTCACTGGAGGACTTGAATGGTCAATACAGTCTTCAAGGCAGAGAGGAAAATTATCTCTGCCTGACCCAAACAAAGTCTTGTTATCCAAATCTGACACCAAGGCAGCCTTGAGCTGCTAACAACAACCCCCACGGAGAAAGGAATGCAGACAAATGCTGTGAAAACCTGGGGAAACAGGTACCCCCCCCCCCGCCTCCCTATCGGAGTCTCATGCTGTGAACTGTGATGTTCGTGCTTATATGGTTGAGGTTTTTTTTTTGCATAGTAAAGCTACGCCCTGCCGGGAGTAACTCTGGTATGCCTTTTTTCCCTCCCCCAATTTATCCTCATGTAATTCCCTTTTCATCTTTTCGCGTTGTGAAGGACCACAGTCTCCAATTCTTGTCATGTGTCTTGCCCATGTATGTCTGATCTCTGAATTGTGTGTACTGAAACTCAATTTCATTTCTCTGTATGTCTTGCACATGTGGTAGAATTGACAATAAAACTGACTTTGACTTAGTCCTAACTCTGGGGTCAGTGTCACATTGTAGCTGAACAAATGTACAAACAGATAAATAGACTCAAATCAGTGAGGAGGTTTGATTTAAAGTATTTCAAATTTGATTTTGCGCAGAAGAACTGAAATAAATGTTGTGCATGAGGTGGCATTTGCAGCAATAAAAGCATTTAACCATCATTTATTAAACTGGACTCTTTGATCACTAAATGTTATGCTAATAAACTCTAACAAGTCCAGCTTTAAATCGTGTTCTGGCAAAACTTAAGGTCTATTATTACCCAAACAGATTACACCAAATATGTGCAGAGAAAAAGGCCGCCAAACGGCTTAACAACTGACAAACACTTTATATTGTATGGTCAGATTGTAATACACTGTACTCTTTTTTTTATTTTTTTATTATTAGACATGGCTTTAATATCTCAGAACAGCTGATTTGGCCTTTCACATCAGATAGTATAAGGTATTTTATTATTATTGTTAGAACATTTATTGTTTTCATGGCAATGTTAAAAAAATGCCACAACATTTTAACATAACAATGACACTTTCCAAGACAATAGAACAGGAGTGAGATGAAGAAAAAATCTTATGTGATCTCCCACCCCTTCCTACTTCAATGTTGCTACAACCTTAGCAGCCTGACCAACGCCCGAGCACAATTAAATCTCAGTTGAATTATGATCACACTGTAAAAAATAGCTGTATATTTAACAGTGATAAACCATGACAGGATTTTTTTTAATTGTCAATTTTATGTGAAGTTGCTGTAAATAAATTAAATGGTGAAAACAACCATTTCATTATCATGAGGAAAACTGTTTGAATGTAGTTTTTAGTGGGAAAAAATGTTGGTTTTAGTGGCACAAATTGTATTTTATAGATTATTTTCATGTTCATTTTACAGCAAAACAATGTTTTTTTTCTTCAAGTAAAACCATTTTCTTCTATTCTGCACCATTTTTAACCATACAACAACTATAAAAGTACCTTTTAATTGTAAAAGAAAAAAGTTTTGCCTGTTATTTTAAGGTACCAGTCTGGCAACCCCAACTTAAAGTGTGATACTTTATTTATGTAAAATTAAAATAAATTTATGTTTTTTTTTTTTGTTTGTTTTGTTTTTTATAGTGCAGCATTCTAATATAAATCTTTCGGAACCATTGTTCTAACTTATTTGGTTTGTGTAATTATTTTTTACTTATTACTTAATTTTTTTTACTGTTTGTTAGTAGGCTAGGGAGCCAAAGTCACGCCCATCTACTTCCGGATCATGGGTCGCCAGAAGAACGAACAAATGAATGCAAGTCAATAGGGCTAAAAATGCTATTTTCTAATTCCACTTGTTACGTGCCATGGATTTCACATATGATGTCCGTGAATTTTAAAGACACATTTTGATACCAAGAACGAGCTTATTTTTGAACAGGGGGAAATGCTATTTTAGGTGTTGTGTGAAAATAAGTCCAGGACTACAAATGCCCTTCATGAAAGTGACATCATAAACGAGACACGGAGAAAACTGAGGGAAAAGTGATGTAAGTTCTGCAAACTTCCTACAGGAGGAAAAAAACACCATAAATCTGGTCATTTGGTAAGTAACAACTACGTTAGGGGAGAGGAGATTATGTGGTGACATCACATATACGGCGTGCCGATTTCTGGTGTGTAGTCATGCTAATGACCAACTTTTAGAAGCTGATTAATCTTAAAGTACGTGATTGGCGTGGTCGAAACACCCATCATTGCTTTTAATTTAAATTACAGTACAACATATGTACGATCCAGGGTCTAAGGCATAACAGATTAGAAAATAGCATTTTTAGCCCCGTTGATTTGCATTCATTTTTTTGTTCTTCCGGGGACCTATGAGCCGACCGGAAAGGGAGGACACTTAGGCTCCCTATACAGTGTGGTGTAAGTAAGTAAGTAAAAGTTTATTTATATAGCGCCTTTCACTGATATAAATCACAAAGCGCTGTACAACATGAGTAAGATCAGGGCAAATACCTCTAACTAATAAAAACATCCAAAAAACAATAGCAGTGATAAAGTAGAAAATAAAATCATGAGTATAAACAAAGTGAAGGTGTGAACAAGAACAAAGCCATCTTTTTGAAACATTTAGGGAGGGAACGCCTGGATGAAAAGGTGAGTTTTTAGATGATTTTTAAAGACCTCTACAGTGTTAGAGAGACAGAGATTTGAAGGTAGACTTTTCCAAAGTCTGGGTACAAAAGTCTGAAAGGCCCTGTCCCCTTTGTTTTTTAGTCTGGTTCGAGGAACAGCCAGGAGGTTTTCAGATGTGGCTCTAAGGTTCCGAGAGGTGGTGTGTGGGGATAAAAGCTCAGATAGGTAGCTTGGAGCCTGGTTATTAAGAGCTCTATAGGTCAGGACTAAAACTTTAAACTGAATTCTATATTCTACCGGGAGCCAGTGGAGGGACTGTAAAACTGGGGTGATGTGAGCTCATCTGCTGGATTTGGTTAGGAGTCTGGCTGCTGCATTTTGGATGGCTTGAAGGCGTGAGAGGGAGGTTTTGCTGAGACCAGTAAAAAGAGCGTTACAGTAGTCTAAGCATGATGACAAAAAGGCATGGATGATTTTTTCCAGATCTGCAGTAGAAACCAGTTTACGGACTTTTGAAATGTTTCTCAGTTGGAAGAAACAAGAGCGGGAGATGGTTTTGACGTGTAAGCCTAAACTTAAGGCTGGATCGAAAATAACTCCTAGGTTTCTAATGTTGGCCTTGGCTGATGGGCAAAAAGAGGCAATTTCTTGCTCGATTTTTGGCTGAAGTTCCGGGGGTGAAGCGATCAGGGTCTCTGTCTTGTTAGCATTGAGGACAAAAAAGTTGCTGGACAGCCAGTTACTGATCTGGGTCAGGCAGAGTACAAGTGTGGCCAGCCCAAGTGTGTCAGGCCAAAGGCAGCGTGTCTTTAATTAGGCCAGGTGTTTTCTTTACTGATTGACTCTACTTGTATTCTTTGTGTTCCTGAGTTTGTGTGAAAGAAAAATAAATCATAAATAAACCAACAAATAAAGTCATGAATCTTCTTTCCATTTGTCTTACCGGAGCGACCGTCCCTCTGGATGTCCACGTGGTGCCAGGCGCCATCGTTGACTTTAGCCTGGGTAGCCTTGACTTTAATAGTGCCTGATCCCATGTCTAAAAGCAGGTACAGCCCTCCATCCAGCAACTCCACTGCAAAGAAGTCCACCTTGTTGTTTTTCTGGCCTTTTGCATCCCGGCGGTCCTGAGGCTTACCGTGGGTATAGAGAATCAGCCCATTGGGTTCAGAGGTTCGGAAGTCAAAGGAGATTGAGCCAACGCGTTTGGTATTCCACTTTGGCATGGCAAGGTAGGAGTCAGGGTTCTCAAAGTTGATGGGGTCAAGCGTGGGAACATTTTCGCACTTAAAAACCACATCACCATGGAGTTTCATCTTAGGGTCAACAATTCGGGCCAGGCGAGAGAGCTCCAGCCGGATGTCATTGTTCTTATATACCACCTGGAAGAGATACAAAACAGGGTGAAAATCTTCCTCAACCTCAAGCTTGTGTTAGATCATTCCTCAATGCAGTCAAGAGTGAAAATATAATATTTCTACATAAAGTAATTGCAGTCCATTACGAACTGTGGTGTTATGGGATCCTGCTCCAGTATTATTACACACTGCAGATGCAAGGACAGTTGGATCAATAAAACTAATATCGTTGAAGAATTGTTTGTCTCAGTGATTTTCTATTTCAGCTTCAATTTATTCAGGATGAAAAAGAGATTGTAAACAAATGCAGGAGTGTGTTTTGGTTCGATTGAACAGCTAATGCTGGAGTGAAGCATGAGAAGTGATGACTAAATTATTGGTGAGTCATTCTCTGTAATGTTCGAAAAAATTCTAGTCTTTGTGAATTATGAGCAAAAGCCTGTAGAAAAATCTGTGACCCCAAGGGAACATTCCTAATACCATATCTATTCACACCAACCCCATAATCCATCAAAGTAGAGATCAGCATTACAATAGTCAAATACAATAAAATACCTCAGAAAATGAGAGCAAAGAAGGATCAATTCAAATCCACTCATGCAGAAAATTAATGTTTTTCTTCTGTTTACTTTTTTTTTTCCCTGAGTAAGAAATCAGGTGGTGTTTAAGGTATTGTGTGCAATGGAGGCAGCAACTCTGATAGTAGGGGAACAGCTGTCAGCAAACAGATTTTACTGCAGTGAAATTACGGATAATCCAAGATTTGACAGGAAATCAACATAGGTGACCTGAGCTCTGAAGGGAACCGGCGAGAAGCAGAAAAGTGAATCACAGAAACACCAGGGATAAAAAAGAACGGTAAAACACGGCACAGAAAACAAATTTTCAAAGACTAAGATAAGTTTTTCATTCATTTGCAAATTGCTTGCTCTTCTCAACTGGTGACTGGAGGCACAGACGAAATTTTAATTTGAAGGTGGTAAAACTGAATATTACATCACAATTGACACTTCTTTAAATTGTACAATGGTGTTACTCTTTTGTAGAGACACCTTCTGTCTGTCGAAGGTTGGAACAGCAACCTAAAGTGTTGATATACACAACATCTCAGCACAAACTCACTTGATATCACAATATTTCATCCAACCAATAAGCACTTTGACACCAATGTCAAACTGAGTGAGTTTGATGCTGTTTTTGTTTTATAGAGTTGGTTTGACTCCAAAGGTTAATAGATGTACAGGAAATCATTATTTTTGGAAGATTTCTTTCAAATCGGTCAAGTGGTTCATGAAATATTTAGCTGGTAGACTGAGTTGAAACCAACGTCCAGCAATCCACCAACTTTTAAGTAGAGATCTTGTTTAATAACTGGTACCGGAAGTGTAAACTGTGGATGACTCTCAACATTTAAAGTGGCCATATCATGAAAAATCCACTTTTTGGAGTTTTTTTTTACATGTGATATTATATGCTCATGAAAAATACCCCCAAACATGGTTTTGGCTACATAAATTCATTTTTCAGTCTCAGGTGCAATTTTTTCAGATTCTGAGCTGAAACCTGCAAACACAGCAGGCCCTGCTCCTCGCGCTGAAGCTAATTTCAGACCTGCAACCCACCTCCCCTGGAAGCAGGTCACTAACTGCCACTTTCTCAGAGTTGGGTGCATAGAGCGGTTGATTTCATGCTGCAGTTGAGTGTGACCTTCATGTCACAGATGACTCTTAATCCTCCACTAGGACCAGAGTAGGTATTCTGACAAACAACTTCTGCTTTGGAGACAAAACACGTCTGTAAAAACCAAGCATCCTGTGCACAAGCATGTGTAAGAATAGTCCAATGTTTTCCTCTTAGCCATTCTTAGGTGTGTTTTGGGTCGTTGTCCTGTTGCAAGACCCAAGACCTCTGACTGAGACCATACTTTCTGACACTGGTCAGCTCTAGAACCCATTGACAGTATTGAGGTTTCATTGTACCCTGCACAGATTCACAAAAATTTAGATGCAGAAACATGTTTTATTTTTGATAACTTGTTGCCGTAGCCTTGCAACTCAAGTTCTAACCACTATTAGTGATTTTTCCAGAAACACTGATGGGTTTTCATGCACATTCTTGTTGAGTATACCGTTTCGTACTCCACTCTCAGACCTCTCACGGGCAACAGAAGAGAATGAATATTACATGAAAAGAAAAAAAGGAGCAGCTTTAATGCTCCTCATTTGCCATGGAGAACTTTAGCAGCACAGTGATGGTCACTGCACAATTCTTAGATGTTAATCCCTCAAACTGGTTCAGAGGCTGTCTGTGTCTATGAGTCATGTAAGGCAGAATCGTAACATGGAAGGAATAATTAGGCACAGCAGTTCCCGTACAACTCAAAGCTTCTCACAGATAAAATACTCCCATAACCTTGAGCTTCACTGAGTTGAAAGTCTTTACAAACGCTTGCAGGCATTGCAGTGTTTCTTTGATACGTACTAATAAACTATCTCATTTCTGTTTTGGGATTATGATTTTATCTGTCCCGCTAGAGGCCGATCAATAAGGCAATAGAAATGATGTTATAAAGGAGGAAGCAACTACCTCAACTCTATATGTACCTCATCTTTTCTTTTGTTATGGCTTTGCTTTGCTATCCTCTAGCCAATCAGCAGCCTTATGGGGCCCATTCATAATGTGCACACAGGAGACCAAAATGACTCCATAAACTTGGATTCAGCATTTCTCCTCTAGGCCGGGGTATTGATTAGGCCCTCTGTAAGACTACGAGGCGACGTGAAAGGAAGGGCAGGTGGGTGGAAACATTGCACACACATACACACATCACTTCTATCCTAATCTATTTCAGATCAGCGCCGTGTCCCTTTAGCCCTGGCTGCAGCAGCTGCCAGCTGAAGATTTAGCCACGGTGCTAATGATGGAACTGGGTAATTGCACTAAAGACACACACTCAGAAGGTTCCTGTGATGCTCACACACACTGGCACAAACGTGCCAATGGCCTTAGTTGCATGTGCACACATTAAACATGCAGGATGTTTCATAAATCTCTGAAAAATTCAGACTCAGTGCGAGGATTTTTCTGTGATTTGGGTGAAGTGAACCTTTATTGTGACAAAATAAAGGCATCTGAGCTTAGCTTGTCCAGACAGGCAGCTTCAGTCGGGCCTCATGATGCACTATTCACTGCGACATGTTCAGTGCCCCCCCCCCTCAAACACACACACAGTGAGGTGTCCCATTCAATCTGTCACATTAACTTGCCCATGAACTCACTGCAAATGCTGCTGAGACTGCTTCTCCTGCTCAAAACAAAACCTCTTGTAGTTCCAACCTCCCATATCCTCTAGGGTGACTCCTGCAGTGGTGGTTTATCTCTCACTTCGCTTTGTTTCAATCTGTTTATTTGTAAACGTGAAGGTAAAAAAAAAAAGTCTTTTTACATTTAATTTACATATTCTGCTGAGTCACCTTTGATATACAAAATATAAAAACTTTAGTTTCTGATGCTTTTACAAGATTTGACACGGCTTTTGCCCGTGTGTTAGCTCACAAAACACTGGAAACTCATGAAGTCTTGTTGGATGTACATCTACCGCTTCTGAAGCCAACCCAATTAAAGATGGCTACTACGGCTTTTCGAATTTGGTGTCACAGTTGCTGAGTTCACCTAGAAATCGAGACCAACCATTGCAGTTGCTCTGCAGGTCGGTCTAGGCACACTCCATTGTAGCCTCAGCAGGTGATCAGTTGTATGTCTTTCCAAAAACAACACTCTACGTTTGTTGGGCAGACTTCCATTAGAACAACTACAAAGATGGCGAACTGTAGAACAAGCTTGTTGGTGCACAATCCTCACAAATTGATCAATCAGGTTTTCCACTGAGCTTTGCTTTCTGGCTTTGATTCCTGTTCACCACATTACTGCAGATGCTCCCGATCAGCCTGTCGATCTTCCTCTCCCTTCTTCTATCTTTCATGAACAAGACCCCCAACTTGAGGTATGACGTTTCCCCCAACCTGAAGCCTCTCTTTTCCAGTCAAGAACCACGAGCTTGGATTGAGAACATTTCATTAAAGAAAAAAACAGAGTGCAAGACTTCACAGCCTGCAATGTTACAGATACCTGGGTTGAGGCCTGTGCATCACCACGTGATGGCGGGATATTTTCCGTGATGCTCAAGGCTCGGAGGGACTATTAACATGGGATTGTCAGCCAGGGGTTAGGGTCCTATTTGCCAGATAGGCAATTTGGTGTTCATATTGAGAACTTTTCCTCTCCATCTACTCCACTTCACTGGGGTGTACCTCAGGGTTCGATTCTGAGGCCACTCCTGTTCTCGATTTACTTATTGCCATTGGGGATGATTTTAGCAAACCTTGGAATAAGTTATCACCTTTAGGCTGACGACTGCCAGATTTATTTAGCTTTAAGTAAACCTGACTCAACTCGCCTTCTCATCAACTGTATTACTGCAGTTAAAGGCTGGCTGTCGGAGAACTTCCTTTGCCTTAACAAAACAAGACTGACACCATTCTTTTTAATTCAATCAATCCAAAGCATGCACCTGGTGACTTCCCTCTACCGTTTTTAAATTTGAAATCTTGCATAACTAGTCTGGGAGTGAAACTTGACTCTGAACTGTCAATGAGTTCACAAATTAACACTAAAGTCAGTTCTTGTTTTTTTCAATTATGTCGCATCTCACGTTTAAAGTAAATAGTCAAACAACCACAGCTGGAGTCTGTTGTTCACGCCTTTGTCACCTCATGTTTGGACTATGTCAACTCAGTACTTATTGGTGTCACTGTCACAGCAATTGTGTGTCTTCAGGGAGTACAGAATGCGGCGGCTAGATTCCTGACAAACACTTCTAGATGCTGTCACATTTCACCTGCCCTTGCACTCTTGCACTGGCTGCCTGTTAAATATCGTATCCAGTTTAAGGTTTTAACCTTTGTTTACAATACCCTGAATGGTTAAGCCCCTGCTTATCTGTCAGAACTGCTTAAGCCTTAAGC